CTTGGTCCCTGCGGTCCCGCCCCGGCCCCGCGGCTCTCACCGCCCGGGACAGCGCGGGGAGCTCATCCCCTCCCGCCCAGACCCGCGTTCAGTCGCTGCCACACCTCGGTCAGCTTCGCCCACCCAGAACTAACGATGCTTTTCCGTTTAACTCGTGCATGTAGCAGTACGTGCATGTTCGCGTTTTTCCACTTAGCAAGCTTGTGAAGTGCTTTTCTTAGCCCCTTTTCCGTTTGGAGAGAAATCATAAAATCATAGAATCAACCGTGTTGGAAGAGACCTCCAAGATCATCAAGTCCAGCCCTACCGTGCTTACTAGGCCATGGCACTAAGTGCCACATCCAGTCTCAGCTTGGAAACCTCCAGGGATGGTGAATCCACCACCTCCCTGGGCAGCACATTCCAACGACTAATCACTCTCTCTGTAAAAAATCTCTTCCTAATATCCAACCTAAACCTCCCCTGGCAGAGCTTGAGTCTGTGCCCTCTTGTCCTGCTGCTAGATGCCTGGGAGAAGAGACCAACCTCCCACCCGACTACAACCTCCAAATCTATTCAAAATCCAAAACCAATCCATGAGAGGATTGCAACAGAGCTTGGATTCCCAGGAATTTGTGCCTTCACACTCATACCAGTGGGTTAAAGGAACAGGGATCTAGGAGCACAGCTCCCTGGTGCTAGGTTTACACACTGGTATCACCTACTTAATCCCTTCTGTGGCTTTGCAGGAATTCATTACTTTATAAGATCCTAGAATGCACAGAAAGGAAATCAAACACGCCTCAGATTACATTTTTACAGCTTTGTACCATTTGCACCCTCCTCTTGTCATGTGTTACTTTCAAGTAGTTATGTTACTTTCTCCTTCAGAGTATTATTCAGAGTTTGTCATTATGTTACAAAACTAGCAGAGGAGTGTTAATAGGTGCAGAATTAGCAAGGCAGCTAAAAGAATTTAGATATCTAAGACTAACTAGGTCTCAAAGGGGCAGTTGTGGCAAAGGGCCTCAGACAGGAATGCACCCAAGGACATAAATTCTTGTACCTGTGATAGCCCATCCTGCAGCAGTGCAGAGGAGCCAGCAGGAGTCAACCAAGACCAAGATAAGGAACTTGATCATCTGCAAACAAGGTAATGAGCTGAGCCAAAACCACATATGTAAGGGAGACTCAAAGTTAATGGAAAGGACACTAATGGGCATCTTTCCAACAACCACGAAGGACCACCAGAAACCATCAAAAACCCCCCTGGAAAATCCCAAAAATCATTAGCATGAGAAGTGAGTAACAGAGCTGGGTAACTTGTGACCAATGAACACTAATTTATTTGTTTTCTGAAATGTATAAACAGTAAAGAGTTTGGACAGTTGGGATGCAGCTTGGCAGAGCATCCCCTGTGCATCCAGTGCTGGAACAAATAAAATGCCTGTTCTTAGTGCTACACCGGTGTTAAAGGGTTTTATTCCTGATTTTGGTGACACTATCAACTACCCTCAGTTCCTCCCTTGCCCCAAGTTCCCCAGTACTTACCTCGAACCCACAGCATCCACCTCAGCTATCAGCAATACTCTCCTTAACATCAGATTCTCACCAAATCAAATAGCTAATCATAAACACACAAAATTGTTACATTATACAAATACGTGGTAAGGGCTGTGGTAGTTCACTTACATGTGGGGTTTTTGTGTGCCAGTAATGACGTATAATAAAGGAACTGTCAGTTTCAATTCAAATGAGTTTTATTTTGGATGTTAATTATTTACAGTTTTAGAAAATGGAAACAAAGGATAGCCTTAAGAAAATAAATTAATAACTATGTATCAGCAAGAAAAGTCATGTCTTTTTTTTCTTATTCTTTCCTTCCTGGAGAATATGGCATGCTTCATCACTGACCTTCTTACAGATCCCCATCTTTATCCTCTTTAGTTTTCTGCCTTTTCTTTTATCTGGCCTGTAAAGCAAAAATGGAACACAGAGATTAGAATAAAATGGAGAACATATGTCTACATTGGCTGGGATTTTAAATTCAACAAAAAAATAAAAAAGGTTATAAAAATTTCTAATAAATGAATAATTTGAAACTGTTCATGTTAAGTATATGAACTGCAGTGACAGTATGCAAAGTACTGTCACAAAAAGTACAGGGAACATTCCATCTTACAATGTTATGAGATTTCAACTTTCTAAAACTGTTTGCCCACTTTATTGCCATTAATTATCTTTCATTTATGTACTTAATTCTTGGACTTTAAGCAGAAATGGAAAACTTCAGACATTCAGTCACCAGGAACAAAAAACCACAAAGAGTTTCATAATGAATATATAATGCATGAATATATAATAGAGAGGCTTTGAAGAAAAGCATATAAAGTTTAACACTAGGAAGTCTCCTGCAAATAATCCAGGACCTAAATACAACCAGCAAATGGATTGTTTTCTGTCTCTGACAAAGGATGTATTTCGTAACACAGAATGATGAATAATTTTAGCAAATAAAACATACAGAATTTTTAGGAGAAAAAGTAATCTAAGTTATCTTCTGCAACAAATCAGCAAAAGTAACTGGTGGCCTGAAAGGACTAAACCATTCTGATACGTGACAGAATAGTATCTTACTTGACAGAAGAAATATGAAGCTTCATGAATTTCTTTTAGCATCCTTTTTTACTTTTTTTAAGCAAAGAAAGAGAAACCATTAAGGGATGGAATTTTTAAAAGAGATGAAACATTACTACCTTTTACCTCTAATACTCCCTAACCAAGACTCAGCTTAATGTCACAGTAGGACACAAAGCAATATCCCTCCACTCCTCTACCATACAACAGGCACCTGATGAGTCTTTGATACTGATTCAAGAGGCTAATTAATGATCTGAATCTCACTATGCAACAGAGCAACAGCTTTTGGGAAGGAGGATTTGCATGTCCACTGCTACAGCCACTCAAGCCAAGAACAACAAACAAGCTCATGCACTCTGGAGAGGAAGTCACAGAAGTGTGGGTCAACTATTCCAAAGTGGTAAGACTGAGCCATCTGCTGGATCATCTCTCAGCAAATCCCCTTTCCCCTTTGCAGTTAGTTTCACCTGAAGGTCACTGCACACGATTTTTTTTTGATTTCTCATACATAAAAGTATGTAATTCTGTATGTTACAGAAAGACAATCATGGAAGAATCAAAGTACTTCTTCATGTGACCCTCATTAATGGCAGAGATTTAGACTGTACTACAAAAAGCACCTGAAATACCAGAAGGAAAAAGGCAAAATACGCCACAACAAAGCAAAAGAGACAGAAAGCAATAAAAACAGTATAGCGATTCTTTTCTCTGCCTTTTCAGGAGGAATTCAAAGGGGATAAAAGTGTTTCATTACTCCTATTTTCAATCTTCTTGACAGATCTCTCCTATGCACCAGTTGCCAAGTTTGTGATCCATATAAATCAGTTTTGAGAGAAATGCCACAGTGAAGGAATTGGGAGCCAGAGTAAACAACCTGCTCTTTATCATACCCTCCCCAGCAATACAGCAAGTGGGCCATAGTGAAAGCTAGAGCCAAAAATCATCTCTTTCTAAACTGGCTCCATGAAATAAGACCTCATCTCATCTGAATCTTTTATAAAAGCAACGTCACACTTACTGGCAAGCTGTCCTGGTGTGGGAGAGGCTGGGACAGGTGCTGCGTTTGTGACCTGCCTTGCCACAAACAAAACAGCCAGCATTAACCTTCTCACAGCTGTGGCTCTGAAGGGCACAGCAGTTGCATTTGGTACAGTGAAACCAAGCTGCAAAATAAGGAACACGATTTATGACCTTGAAAATGTTTATAACCATCATTCTGAAACTGTCAATACAGGCCACAGGGCCAGGTGTTTAATTCTGGGTTAGTTTTTCAGAGATGGATGCAGTCAGACTCTGATCCCTTATCACATTTCAAAAGGCAGCCAGGTACTTCACTAGATACACTGTGCAATGAGGTCTGAATTATTTTACCCTTAGAACTGTTATCCTGCATGTGGTCTTAACATGTAGAATAGTCCAGGTATATACAGACTGTGATTTTTGTAACAGTGACAAAAATGATTGCTTCAGCCATTTAAACACAGCTTTAAATACAACTATGCTATCACATTTCAAAAGGCAGCCAGGTACTTCACTAGATACACTGTGCAATGAGGTCTGAATTATTTTACCCTTAGAACTGTTATCCTGCATGTGGTCTTAACATGTAGAATAGTCCAGGTATATACAGACTGTGATTTTTGTAACAGTGACAAAAATGATTGCTTCAGCCATTTAAACACAGCTTTAAATACAACTATGCATGTGTATGAAACTCACACTCTTTACTCTTTCAAACATTTTAGTAACTGCATATTTGTTTCTGAAATTCTAACGAAAAAATTTTACAAAATCAGGGAAACACTTACATGACAATCAAAATAATTACATTTTCCCCATAACCAATATAAATAGGATTTAATATGCCTTGGCAAGGATTTAGCACATTTCCACACAGTTCAAATACACCTAAATTAATGAACAGCAACTTGTGTGAAATAGAGATTTTTCCTTTAGTCTATGTCTGCTGAATTATTACGTTTTACTTCTATAGAATATTTTTTCTTATGGTTTCTAATCTCAGTTTCTTTGGACTTTTCTATTTAGAAAAGTATTTTTCCGTACTTACAGGGTTTTACGCATTTTTTGCAAAGGACACAATGTTTCCATCGTCTGCCATCCTACAAAACACAAATAAATGCTGTTTATTAACCCTCTGATTCTATCTTAAAACTGATCTACTGATGTATGGTCCCCACTGTTTACAGAACTAGAGCCTCTGTAGGAAGGACTGTAACTCGGAAAACAACAGTGCTGAGAATCTGTGACAACCACAGCAAAACTGCTGCATTTTGAAATTAGCAAGTGTAAGGGGCAAGTAGCAAACTTTTCCTGTCCTTCCCACCACAAAGGAATCAGGAAAAGAGAAATTAATTCCCAGTGGGTTAAGAAAGATGTCCTGTGAAGTTAATAACATGCATATCAGAATAGGTTTTCACCAGAGTAAGCGTTACATAGCTTATCTGACTACTGCTCAAACTGTTATTCAGAAAGAAGTGAAAACACTTACTTTTGAGGTACATGAATTGCAAATCTCACAGTGCTGGTTACCAGAACTCACATATCGCTGACATACACTGCAAAACCTGGGAAAAAAATGTACCAGTCCACTGTTTGCTCACAAAGCAATTCATTTTATACAAGATTAACAATAAACATAAGGACTGCAAAATCACTTTGCTGCATTAAAGACTATGTCTCTGATGCCTACAATGACCACTTAGGCCACTTAAATGCAGTTCATCCACACAGTATAATTCAAGTGCTTGAATCTGAATGAACAACACTAGCAGTAGTGTATCAAACTAAACCCATTCCTCTGCCCTGGTGCTTCTTTGTGTTCACTTTATTAAGTACTTTCTCAACAAAGCTGATTATCAGACACAGCTGTAAAACTCTCTTGTTTTATACAAAAGAGTATGTTGTGTGTATACAACATTTCCTACAGACAAGCTGAGGAGTCTCATCATTCCACACTGGAAAATATAAACTCCTTGTTAGGTGCTCAGCTCTCCCACACATTGCTTATATAATATGTAACCTTAGAATGAGACAGGAAAATGTGCATCCCAGTTAGGCAAGGCAATCCTGACCAGCACAATCCCAAAGTCCTTTGGAGACTTTATGCCCTAAGAACGAACACACTCTTCGGTCACTCATCTTACCTGTAACCCTCTTCTACAGGGAGTACAATCATACTTGGTGTAAGGTTTGTGAAGATACGAACAGGAGATTGTCTACAACCTGTCTTGCCATGTTTATACAGTGCATGATTATCATAGTCCACCTAGAAAAATAAAACCATAAGAAAGAGTCTTAAACTGAATGCTAAACACAGGCAGAGCTACTTACATATTTGTAACTTTATATGTGCCTCACAAAATGGTCAAGTTTATATAAAAGGCTCTAACCCCAAATCAGTTTACAAATTCTGCAGCAAGTTTTTGTCTCATTTGCTTTTAAATTTGAGCAACCACAGTATCAGGCTAAACACAGTAATCCTACCTTACTTATCCCTTTTTGCTGTTTTGCATGGAATACCCAAGACAATGTTTGCAGTTGTTCTACAAGAGCAATAAAAAAGGAACTATATTGGTTGGTCTATCTGTCAGTACAAGATTTCATGTGCATCTTGACCTGTCTCAGAATAATTGCAAAGCTGCAAATCCAATCAGCACTGCTTTTTCCAGCACTGCCTTCAGAGACTTCGTCACAAAAATTCTCATCCCTGAACACCTGCAGGATTGCAGAGTCTAGCCTAGAACGAGATTTCAATTTTCTTCCACAAATTTCCATTCACAAGACACAAATACATCGTTCAGAATGATGTCAAAATTCATGCAGATTTGTTACATAAAAAAATTAAAACTTTGACACGGTGAATTCCTGTGACTGAGCACTCAAAACTCACTGATGCACATGTGCTTAAACAACGTGCAGAATGGATACAATATGGATAAGCTGATGCCAGATTATTGCTTTATCATGGCCAAGTTCATTTATTAATTCCAAAAACTTCCACTGTTGTAATCCTACTCTGGTCCCAGCAGTTTTGGAGATGAAAGACCTTAGTTTATTTGGCTTTTTGACCAGAGTTGGGCACTACCCACTGACATTTCAACACCTGTGAAAAACCAAACACTTTGTCAAGTTATCTCTCAACTCTGCAAGATGCACCTGTCAAAATTAGGGCAATTTTGTTTAGTGCAATTCGTACTGATTTTTCAAAATCTGAAACCCTGGTAGAAGTGAGTTAATGGATAAGTGACAGATGAGTTAAAGATACATAATAAACTGCAGGAATATACCTGGTAATCCATCATACTGAAGCTTGGGAAAAAGCTAAGAATACGAGACTCAAAGAAGTATGGAAATATCCAGAACATGGGCATCTCTCTATTGCCATGACCTAGTAATGAAAAGACTTAGATGTACATAAGAGAAAAACAAGGTACACGAAGGAGAAGTTTACCATAAACATTCTGAAGACATACACATGTATATGTATGTCATGTTGGGCAGATGAACTAGTTCCTTTGAGCAACAGAAAGTTTTGGCCTATTTTATATACTCAGAGCTGTAAGTGCCACATAACTCTTTCACCTGCCTAGGCTGGTGATGATAGGGACTGGTTTGATAGCTTATTTTTCTCTACCTTTAAGTCCATTTTAATTGCAAAGTATATGTTAAAAATTGGTAAAGTTTTTTCACACAGCCTTTGAGAATTGGGCATTACTAACCTAAAAATATCAGGAGAGTAAATTAGATACATGGTAGTTCAACTTTAGAAATGATGAGTGTGCTCACATTCACGTGAGTAACAAGAATCACAGACTTATAAATAGATACTTTTCTTATAGTGATGCTACTGCTCAACCCACCTATCTGACTGTAATACCTACCTTCTTTTTCTGTCTCCTTCCACATTGCCATCAGTTTTTTAAAACTAGAAGCCAGTGCTTCCACTAAACCTCCAAATGGAGGATCAGTGACCATAATGACTCCTTCACCATTGTCTTCATTCAGAAATTTCCTACAAGCTTCATGTGCAGCCTGTAAGAAATAGAGGTTAATTTCCAGAAATACAGATTCAAGAACTGTTAAAATATTGTCTTTGGCAATAAAATGATGGAATTTTTTTCCTCTTGTGAAGTGAATTTCCTCTTGTGTAGTATTTAAAAAAACCTACTAGATTTGAAGCACTGAAAACAAGTGCCCTGTTCAGTTAATGTGTCAAAAGCAGATGCAGTTCAAGCTTCCTAAAGATACTAAATTTACCTTGGAAAAAAGGTGTTCTTCATAGAGAGAAAACAAAGTTCAGAATACATTTTATTCATGCCCTTAAAATTTAGTCAATCCAACCTTGACTCTTATTAAAGAAAATGTAAAAAGCTGTGTATTCACTGCCATCCTGCACTGTTCTGTCATCTAGTACTTAGATCTTACTGCATTCCAAACCCAGATTTTTAACCCCAATATGCATTCAGGAGTGCTGCAATTCAGTCCCTGAATGCACTGCAATACAATATAGCATTATTACAGGTGTCACCTTTGCACACCTTGAAAAGAATACTACAGTGTTTATAATACAGGTGAAGAGTTTTTTATTTTAATTCAAAAACACAAAACATGAATACAGTGATGGATTAAATAAATTTACAGTTAGGCCTTTCAGAGCTGCTTCCCATTTCATTCTAACAATTATTTTTAATTTCAAGATCCCACTTAAATTTAGCCTTTAGAATGGAAAAATCTGAAAATTATTTACATGGTGTGAATGGTATCGCAAACAAACACGTTTATGCAAACCAGTGGTGGTTTACTAATAGCAGAGGAAGAGTAAAGAGTGGGCACATTACTGGGATAAGTGTTTGAGATTCATGTTTGGAACTGCACAAAGCTACAACAAATGTCCTACTACAGCTGCAGGTTTCCTGACAAGCTCAAAATGAAGCACTTAATGTGACACTGAAAAAGAAATGTGGCGTTTTCTTTAACCATTACACTCACTCAACTTCATTTCATGACAACAAGATTAACCTTTTGACTTTGCTTGTCTGGAATAAAGAAAAAACTCATCTTTCCTCCCCTCCCAAGTACCAGTGATCAAGTCCTGTAGCATCCCCATTGGACTGGGAATAAAATAATGAATTCTGTGGTAGGAACACGAGGACAGAGCTAGTGAATACTTCTGTAAGGCAACAACTCACACCAAACTGTCCTTCTAATAAAAGCAGCAGTTAAGGTATGTAAGCAACATTAGTTAGCATAAACTTAATAAGCAACTTTAACTCTGAATCAAGTGGGAAGGAATTACTGAAGAGGCACAGTTATTCTTTGATTTTCAGTGCTGTTGATCACTTTTTCTCATGATGTTTCCTACCGACTAGCCATGACTTTCTTATAAAATTCTACCTCGACAACATGTACTTCTTTACAAAAGCATTTAATAAATACTTGGCCTTACCTCTCCACCAAAAAAATGATGATTGAACATGTTGTAGTGGCAGAATTCATCCTCTGTGTAAAATTGTGAGTATCTGTAAAATAAGTTTTAATAGTAGTTGAAAAATATAAACAACTTCTTGTCTGTCCTAAGGTGCATTTAGCATGACAACAGACCTTAACAAAAACACATCTCTGGGTTATGATTATGACAACACATACAGATACTGGGAATTATTAAGTCTAATTACTTTTCTTATAAACTGGATGTCATTTGTGTATGTGTGCAGCAACAGAGATGCAGAAACAAGAAAGGGAAAACCACCACCAATTTATCTTTCAAAGCAGCAAGAACACAAATCTTTGTACATATTCTTCAGACAGATAAAGGTTTGATAAAACCTACCTGAAGTCAATATCTAGCAGAAGGCTTCTAACCCTGAAATCTTCCTCTTGTGATGCTTTTGACTGGATCATTTCATGAAGCCTGAAGTACAATCGGGGCAAAGAAATTCAACATATAATCACTGGCTTCAGAAATGATCTTGCAAGACAAGAATGCCTAGTGCTTTACTAAACCTAAAGCCAGAAAAAGGAATTTGGATTATTCCATTTGGTTAATACTCAAAGTTATAAAAATAGGTTACTCTTAAAAGATGAAAAGGCATGAGATCTGCAACATTTAAGTGTGTGCTATTCACAGTGCAGCTGCTGTCTTCTCCTGCATCTTAGGAGCTCAAAGCAAGACCCCACTAGGTACTTGGATAATTCCAACCAATGAAAGCATAGTGAACCTCTTATTATGGGAGAATCATATGCAATCATTAGTAAACTGCACAGTTTTGAGGAGAAATACTATTTGAAAGTGTAACAATTCTCAGTGACTTACCTGGGCACTCCAACAGAGAGCACTCGTCTGAATCCTAAGTCAACGAGGAGTTTCAGTAGGAACTGGCAACTTCTGTCTGCAAATAAATACTGTGCATTTGTTTTTTTATTCTCCAGCGGATACAGAAGTTGACTGGGACTTTTCAACTGGGCAGTGGAGATATCACACAGAAACTGGTGATCAGAGTGTTTTGCCCATTCTGCTGGCAATAACAATTGTTGGCAATCCTGGCAAAATCTCCTCTTTGATAATGGCAACAAAACAAAACTCTTGTACCTTTAAATGCAAAAGACAACAGGGAATGAACTTTGAGAAAGCCTCTATAAAAGACACGAAGGGGAGCTATGGAGGGGGTTTCATATTTTTCAAGTGTTCAGGCATTTAAAGAGACAATGCAGTTTCCAGTGCTCTTGCAAAACTCCATATGTGAATGATGCATTATTTCTGAAAAAATACTCAAAGGACACCATGAAACGCATATAATATGGTGACCAAATATAACTGGAGTCCCCCAAAAATCACTGGATTACAGAATGAAGATTTCATCAACTACCAGCAAAGTCCTGTATGTTTATACACAAAATTTAGACATCATGTTACTGTATTACTTTACTGACCTGTGGTTAGCACATTATGAGCACTAACATAGAACTATACACACACAAAAAAAAACCCTAAACCCCCCCAGGATCCTGGGTTGAAAATACCATGCTCTAATTACATGTTTCATGTTATTTTCAGTTGCAATTTACCAGTTATTTGACCAAATCCTTCTGCCATGTTTTCACATTTTAAAGAACCCTGAAATGTTATCTCTACAAAAACTTGTGTTACTCCACTTTTACTGAAGTGTACATGACAATACCTTTCCACGTTCTGTCTGTGTGTAATAGAAGGCTGATGATGTCTGTTATATTCCTCCCGTGCTGCCAGCCTGGTTTCTGATACCTGTAACATTTGCGCACATAAATGGGTCATTAGGGTGGAGCATCTCTACTGTGGCGAAAGGCTGAGGGACCTGGGGTTGTTTAGGCTGGAGGAGGCTCAGGGGAGACCTTACCACCCTCTACAACTCCCTGACAGGAGGTTGGAGTCAGGTGGGGGTTGGTCTCTTCTCCCAGGCAACCAGCAGCAGGACAAGAGGGCACAGACTCAAGCTCTGCCAGGGGAGGTTTAGGCTGGATATTAGTCAGAGATTTTGTACAGAGAGAGTGATCAGGCATTGGAATGTGCTGCCCAGGGAGGTGGTGGATTCACCATCCCTGGAGGTTTCCAAGATGAGACTGGATGTGGCACTTCGTGCCATGGTCTAGTAACCACGGTAGGATTGGACTCGGTGATGTTTGAGGTCTCTTCCAACTGGTTTGATTTTATGATTCTCTTCTCCAGGCTGAACAACCCCAACTCTCTCAGCCTTTTGCCACAGCAGAGATGCTCCACCCCGATGACCCTCTAAGCACACCACTCTTACCTTCTCATCTTCCCACTGGAAAAAGCTACAATCCTTCCTATCCCTACAAGCCGAACAAGCATAGAATCTTCTCCCTTCCTCCTCTCCTTGGCTGGGCTTGGCGAAGAGAAGCGTGGGACCTAGGGACGAACGCCACGACACGATGACACGTGGTGTGGGGGGGACACCGGGCGCGTTACGGGGGCAGAGCCGCTCGGGGT